ACACTCGACTAACATTGTTAAGAGTTGATTAACATCGCTAACACTCGGCTAACATCGTTAAGAGCCAGCTAACATCGCTAACAGCCTGCTAACAGCCTCACATTGCTAACAGTCAGCTAACATTGCTAGCAGCCCTGCCATGAGTAAGCAGGATCTCCCCCCACTTCTTTCTCTTTCTGCCTTCACTTTCTCATGTTCATTAGTTTCTGGATCCTCTTGTCAAGGTTGTTTGATGATGAAAACATGCATTTGATCTGCTTAAGTGTGACAGAATCAGAGTGAACTCATCCAGGGCACGATTGTACCGGATCAACTGGAGAAACAGGAGCCGAATAACGATATCAGACATCTGGTTACCCCATCTTAGCGCCGCCTATACAGGATCCACAGAGGAATATCTCAACAGGTTCTCCCTCTCTCACAGTATCGCTCACAGGTGTTGAAGGAGGGATTGCCACATGCACAGCGTAGGAGCCGCGCATTAAAATCGGAGGTCTTGGGGGTCAAACGTTCCGTTAAAGTGCCACCCGAAATAGCATGCACGCAGCAGCAGAGACTGACTGTAAATCTGCCACTCAAATAGTCACATTATGCTCGTCTCTCCCTCCTCATGGAAAAGTTAGGAGTCAATTCAAAGATGGCGATAAATAGCTGTGGAAGTACACTTAGCATTCCCTCCACACACTCCCTCCTCTCTCCCAGTCAAAATGTATTCCCCCCCGTATCCCTTTCTCTTTTCTCTGGGCTGGTTCTCTCTCTCTCTCTCTCTCTCTCTCTCTCTCTCTCTCTCTCTCTCTCTCTCTCTCTCTCTCTCTCTTAAAAAAACCTCCAGAAGAAAATGGATTCAAGGTCAGGACAGCAAAGCAGAAGTAGAAGATTAATTTGCTCTTACCTCTGATAAATTATGAAATTAGCCTGTCAGGGGGGAGAAAAACATTATTTGGTGAGATGTCCCTGAGAGCCCCAAAAGGGAATCCCACTGCGAAGTGGTAATTTGATCACATGCCATGTAATTTCAATTTGTGCACTTTTTTATTTATTTCTGGAACATTGTAATTGAAGCTTTTTTTTCTCCCCAATTTCTTTTATTGCAATTCTGATTTCCTGTGGAGCAGGAGCGCAAGTTTGATAAATATATATTATTTTTTTTTTTTTCCAATTACAAAAGTAAATGCTGTTTTTGCTCTTTTCTTTAAATCCAGCATAATTGTTATTAGAACAGAAGGAGCATCACATGAGGTTTTACACATATGGCACTAATGTTGTCTCTATGAAGCCCCCATATGTACCTCTGTGATGCTGTTTTCAAATCATTGACACCCAAAATAACCGTCAATGCAGGTTTCACAAATCCTCACTGACGACAACAAACAAGACAAGGAGCTTATAAAGAATGTACGACATAGTTATGGGCTTACGTTGACAGCTGAGTGGGAGTTTGGTGGAAGTCACTGAAAGAAGACAGCTCAATGTCTTCGGTCCCGTCTGCACGTATGCAGATAGTTTTAGAAACTTATATTTCCCTCTATGCTTTGGCCTCTACCTACAGACATGAGAGTGGTATCTGAACATGCAACTCTCAGGGAGACTTTGCTTTTATTTTAAAGTATTTCTAATGTGTTTTCAGTGCCTCAGTCCAGGTATTAAGAAAGAAAAATGTAATTAATACCTCACACTTCCACATTAAAATCCAAGTCAGTCCAGGAGGTGCTTTAAATGGTTGGATGAGTAAAATAATAACATGCTTTATTACGTTTCAATTGATTTCAGCTCCAGTTTCACAGCTCATTTAACAGTCCGTATGTAACCGTTGAGTTAATATACAGTGTGTCATACTCATTTCATTTAGTTTTCAAACTCCTAATAAAGATCAGTTTTTAACCGACATGAGGCGGAGCAGATGTGGACTTACTGTTGGGGTCGACATTCTCGCACAACTCCGTCTTGGCCTCCCCGTTGGGCCGGTCGCTGGCCTTGTGGGAGAGTCGGGACGACATGGTGGCGGCCGTGGCGACGGCCTTGAAGGAGCGTTTCCTCTTCTGCACGTTGAGCTCCGGGTGGAAGATGATGACGTAGACTTTGGGCATGTAGAGCATCCCGAGGGCCACCGACGCACTCAGGTTCATGGAGATGGTCAGTGTGGTCGTCTGGATGTACAGCTGGAAGAAAAGGGGGGGGGGGGGGGGGCATTCAGTTTACAAAGGCGTGTGAATGCATACAAACATTTACAGAGCTCATAGAGTTACTGTATATTTTAGTGTGTAGACAACATTGATGTCTGATTTATACCCACAGACTGTATATAAGAAGTGGACTTAGTCGTCGTGATGTTACCGGCTGTTTTGAAGCCTCGAGTTTGACGCTACCGATAAACAGAAAGTGATGGCATTTGGACTGCGGAGAAGTGACGTAGAGACGCCCTATACGTCTCTGGTACAGAGCTGTCAATCACCGTGTAGCCCCGCCCTAGAGCATCCCCTGCTTTATGGTCTGTTTGACTCTAAATGGACCATAA